TACTGGGGCCAGTGCTATTTAATGTCTTTGTCGGTGACATGGACAGTGAGAGAATTGACAGCTACCAAGATCACCATTTACATAGACAAGTAATAACACCTATCAATCTGCAAAAAAAACTTAAGCATTGCCCCACTGTAGTCCTTAAAACCTCTTAAACTCTGTTGGGAATTGGCTCCTTCTTCAACAGGTTCAACTTTTCCTATATGCTAATATTCAAGTGAACACCAATTAACTTCCTACCACCACATGACAAGAATTGCTGTCAGACAGACTCCATCCAACTATGAAAGAAACAAGATTCCTTAAGCACTCATAGCCCCAGACAACCACAGTGGAAAGTTCAATCTGCAGGAATACTAACCCAGAAACTAGTCCACTTAGTAAGGTAAGGAACTCTTACTTTCTCCGTAAGAAGTATCCTCATTAAAAGCAGGAAGGGCAAACCAAAACTATGCACGAGTGCCACCCAGCAAATCTTAAGTATGGCAAACACGGGGTGATGTCCAACTCAAATTCCTAACTAACTGATATAGAAAGAGGACAGAATCTTCTGAAACAGATGAAAAATGAGAGAGTTGGGGCTGTTCAGCCTGGAGAAGAGAAGGCTCCAGGGTGATCTTATTGCAGCCTTCCAGTACTTAAATGGGGCCTACAGGAAAGCTGGAGAGGGACTTTTTCCAAGGGCATGTAGTGATAGGACAAGGGGTAATAGCTTTAAATTGAAAGAGGGCAGATTTAGATTAGATATAAGGAAGAAATTCTTCACTCAGAGGGTGGTGAGGCACTGGAACAGGTTGCCCAGAGAAGATGTGGATGCCCCATCCCTGGAAGTGTTCAAGGCCAGGTTGGATGAGGCTTTGGGTAACCTGGTGTAGTGGAGGGTTTCCCTGCCCATGGCAGGGGGGTTGAAACTAGATGATCTTTGAGGTCCCTTCCAACCCTAAATATTCTATGATTCTGTGTGGAAAAATCTTGGACTTTAGAAAGATGTATTAGCCACTTTTGCAATATAAGAATCCAGGTGGTGCTGCACCTCTCTCATGCCTTTGTTCTACTATAACTGGTCTGCCTCTTTAGTTGTTGCAGATATACCAGAGTTCCCAGTCCCAAGAGGAAACCTTTATGAATTTAGAAATTTATTTTTTTTTACTTTGTTGAAGTAAAACTATATCTTTTCCTGGCAAATATTGTTGATTTTTTTTGTTGTTGTTCAGAGTTTGACAGGTGGAAAGAATGGAGGTGTTCACTGTACAGATGTAACCAATGCCAGTAGAACAATGTTGTTCAACATTCATTCCTTGGAATGGGATCCTGAGCTCTGCCAGTAAGCTCAGTTTTTCAGTAATACTGTTATTTGAATAGATTCTGTAAGTCATGTGTGAAGAAACTAATTTAATTGTAAGAATCTCTTAATCTAGACTACGATCAGCAATTACTGTTGTATTTATGTTAACATTAGTAATTAAGATTCATTGTTCTCCAAATGTCGAAATTACAACTATCTGGATTAATTAAAAATAGCAGATTTTTTCTGTAGGTAGAAGACTGCTTCATGGAAACAATGACATTTAATAGTTTCTTTATTCCTTAACCAAATTTGTAAGGCAGTTACAATGTTATTGTCTCTATTTTAAATTTAAATTTATTAACAACAAAATTACAAATATATTATTGGAAGAGGAATAACTTTCCACCTGAAAGAGTTGGATATGTCTTCAAAATATTCAAATACGTGCTGTTTTACTCCATAATTCAGTGTCGCGTATTGTAACAAGTGGAAAAGCACCGTGATGGATTAAAGCCTAGAAATTGAAGTTCCTTTTATAGTTTTTTTTTTTCTTAATGGCTTAAACTTATTTAAAAAAACAAATGCAAAATGCTTTCTGATTTAGGACTGACCATTTAAAAAAAAATATTTTGTGTTGTGTTCAGGTTCTTTGATATTCCTATGGAAATACTCCCAAAAGTACGAAGCTCCTCTGAGATTTATGGCCTGATGGTATGTTTTCTTGTGTGTGTTTGAAGTTAATCTTGTTAAAATGTAACTATATAAATACAGGTTTGATAAAGTTTCACTAGATTAATGGCTTTTTCTAGACTGGTATTGTTTGATTTATGATTAGTATGTCATTATCTACTGTTGTGTAATATTATATGAAGTTGAATATTTGTTGTTTTCTCTTTTAAGTGTCACATAGACAAAACAAGATGGAAGAGGTTTCTGATAAGGATAAAAATTTGATTTTTATTACAGTTACTGATTTAGAAACTAGGCATCAGAATGCAATGTATAATCAGTAGATTAAAAGAATGCAATTGCTGTTATTAGACCACAATATTTTTATTTCTTGTACAATTGAAGAGATAAAAGTTGCTATGAAGACTGGAGAAGACGTGTAATGTCTTATTTCCACATAACTGAAGGCAAGATTGGTCAGTTTCTGTGAACTAAAAAAAATCACAAATGACACCTTAGATGATTTCCTTCTTTTTGAAAAATAAAGTCCTCTTGCTGTGTATATTTACATAGTGCTCAGTAAAAATAAACATTTTGGAATATTATGATATATTTTTCATCACACCATTTCAATTGCAGCTATGAATATTACCTAGGAGTAAATCATTAATTGTTATCATGAGGCTGAGGTTTGAAGTTTCTTTGATGCAGCACCAACTCTTCTGATAATGGCATCTAACTTATTCTTAAAAGCTTCAGAATGGAATAAACAGGATGTTGTGATTTTGCATTATTTTCCTGGTAGTTTGCCCTATTGTTTATTAAGAACATATAGACATTTTGTAATTAAGACAAAGTGTGATATTTTTATTTAAAATATGACTCTTAACTTGCCTGAAATGCAAGTATTTTTGCTAATCTATTAATGGAGAAAGAGTTGAAAGAGTTGGGGCTGTTCAGCCTGGCTGTTCAGCCTGGAGAAGAGGAGGCTCCGGGGTGACCTTATAGCGGTCTTCCAGTACTCAAGGGGGCCTACAAGAAAGATGGGGAGAGGCTGTTCAGGAGGGCCTGTTGTGATAGGACAAGGGGTAATGGTTTTAAAATAGAGGGAGGTAGATTCAGGTTGGATATTAGGAAAAAATTTTTTACCATGAGAGTGGTAGAACACTGGAACAGATTACCCAGAGAGGTGGTGGATGCTCCATCCCTGGAGACATTCAAGGCCAGGTTGGACGAGGCCCTGAGCAACCTGATCTAGTTGGAGATATCCCTGTTTGTTGCAGGGGGGTTGGACTACATGACCTTTGAAGGTCCCTTCCAGCCCTAACGATTCTATGATTCTATGAGATGCCACTGAAAAACATTGCTGACTTTTGTTAATGTGAAGGTCAGATGAGAGTGAGTTGTATTAAACTGAATGAGTGCAGTAAATGGAAAAAAGATATTACCTGGCAACTGAAACAGAATAGCTGGTCACTTTAAATGTGAACTTTTGTTTCTCTTCCCCTTTCCTTCCATTTTTTTCCCCTTTTTCTTCCTTTTGCTGACTGTAGAAAATCTGTCCTACCCTGGTGAGTAGAGGCTTCCATCAGGCTGACCACCTATATCTTATTCATTCTGTTCAGATGCTGTGCATTTCCATTGGCTTAAGGATTAGTAAAAGCACAATTTCTAGACCAATAAATTTGATGGGTATTTCCAAATTTGAGAGATTACAATTAGAGTTCATGCCAAAGTTGTTTCAAAAATGTAATCATGACCTATGTGTTTTCATTAATTTGCTGCCTGTTCAATATTTCTTTTTGTAGTGAAGTAAAAAATACAGCTACTGGCTAATAAATGTTGCCTGTCTCATTTTATAAATAAGAAAAATAGGCCATTCTGTCTACAAATGTTCATTCTGTTATAGTGAAACATCATATTCATGCAGGGTTTTTTAGGGTTTATAAACTCAATTACCTTAAATCCGGTTAATTAAAATGAGAATTAAAGACAAAAAAAAATCAGATTGGAAATGCAGTTGCATGGCTTCACTGAAAATACATTTTCACAATTCCACAAAATCGTGGATTCTTAAGAAAGAATCGTCAGGATATAAATTTCTTATGATACCTATTGCAAGAATGGAACTGAAAAAGGACGTGGTAGTGTTTGGAAGAAATTCTGTGTGTTGCTTAAAGTGTTGTGTCTTAAAATGAGGCACCTGTCTTTGCTTAGTGTGGCATCACAATCACGTTTTTTTCTAGTCGCTGTACCGTTTTGCACTTTTGCATTTTACACTGGACACTGACTGCACAGGTTACGTTGAACCTAATCTTCTGTACACTTTGGCTTCAACAAAATTTACGTTAAGAACTGCTGAGGTGACATGAAATATACCTGTAAATTTCCTGCTTTCTATTTTTTAGTGTTTTAGGCATGAGCCGTATTAAGCTGAAGTCCAATGTACACTTGAACTGAACCACGTTGCTTATGTGACGCTTCTGTGTTTTCCTTTGAGCATCACAAGTGTAGCTTCTTTTTCATTGCCTTAAGCTGTAGTCATGGAAAGCTAATTTGGAGCTTTTCTTTCTCTTTTTGCAAATCAGAAATCTGGAGCTTTGACAGGTGTACCAATTTCTGGGGTAAGTCCTACTTCAACTCCGATTCTGGCATGAGAACCTGATGCTGCATGAACATGTCTTTACTGGAAAAAGCTTTAAGATGGTTGAATCCTGTTACAAATTAAGTTACTTCATGTTAAACATAAAGTAAACTTTTAAAGTTGATTTAGTAGTTGACTGAGTTCTTCATTATTAAGTTAAGGTCTGGCTGTGGATATACAGCTGACAGCTTTAATGCACGTATGTAGTGCTGTTGGAAACTTAGGATCTCAAGTAAATCAGTAATATTACAAAATGGAAGCAAGCTCTGCTTTATACATAAAAGGAGTTCAGTATATACATAATCCAGAAATGCTGGGCAGATTCTCAGCTTTTTGCAATGCAACATGCATAAAGATAGTAAATGTTGATTTGATTTTTGTTCACCGTAAATAGCACAACACAGTTCATTTGCAGTTCTTGTGAAGGGAAGAGCAGTAACAACACACAGGTTGTCTCTATACATTTTTCCTTGCTTTCAATTACCTGCGTGCTCGTGATAGATTATAGTTAAATATGTCTGTTCATGTTCCTTTTTCATGCATGTGATTAATGTACAGACATTTGCTTAAAAAAACCCCTTCTCTTTTCAGTGCTTGGGTGACCAATCTGCTGCTCTTGTTGGGCAAATGTGTTTTCAAGATGGGCAGGCAAAAAATACGTAAGTTATTATGAAATTTCTAGGATAAACAGTACGTCACTGTTCTGTTTTGAATTTGGTATTATGTTCTCTTTCAAACTAACTGCCAAAGGCTTTTGTAGTTACCACATAACTGCAGCTCTACCTTTTGACTGTGTTGACCGACAAAGTAAAGTGTCCTGACTTTTATATAAAATAGTGAAGACATTAAAGTTAAATGGTTTATGAAGTATATTTTGTCACAAAGTCACTGTGAAAAAATATCTCTCTGTGACAGAAGGTTTTTCATTTTAAAATTACCCAAATCACTGGTTAAAACAGTTGAAGTATCATTTAAATTGTGACCGAAAGTTAAACAAATACAGGCCGTGTGAGTTAGGTTGCATAGACTTGGATGACAAAAATAACACCTCATTGCTAGGTGGGAAAGATTCATTTCGGTTGCAGTGCTTAGTTTTGCTTCTGTGTCTAGCTCAGTGTGGAGAACTTTACATTTATTTTTTCTCTAATTCTCAGCCTCTTAGTGCCCCTTGTTTGAAATAGCTGATCAGTTAAATCAGGCAACTGGTGTAATCAAACATTCATTTGAGGAAGAGCTCTCTGCTTAAATGACATACTGTTCCATTTACAGCAGTGTGCTTAACTGAGCATGTTAGGTACATACACAGTATTGGACTTTCACAGATTTAATTACACATTAATCTATACTTATTGCTAATTAACTTTCACTTTATCTTTTATATTTATACATAAATTTAGCAATTAGTGGCGTTGTATTTTAGTAAAGCAAACATGGTTCTAAGTAATATTGTCACAATGTAATTTTATGAGAAACACTTTCATAACACGAGACTTTTTGAAAAAAAATCCAGCTAAACCAAAATGTAAAATGAGGGTTTTTTTAAGTTGTTTGTGTTACTGCTTTGCCCTTTTCTCTCCAAATATAATTGAAGACTTTCTCAGTACTATTTTAAGCTATTTATTTTCAAGGTATTAAAAAGGTGGGGAACTTATAATTTATTAGAATAAGTTAGAGTGGATTATAAGTACTTTGTACTCCTTTTATTAAACCGTGTCCTTATATGTATGTATGTGTGCACATGCATGTGATCTGGTCTTCAAATGAGAAACATGCCATTTTTAGGAGTTTTTGAACTTAATATGTTTAAAGAAAAAACTCTCCTTTGTGACAGTAGTAAAGTTTCTTAATATTTTCTATTTAAAAGCTTGAATTTAATCTTGTGAAATATTTATTTTATAAAGTAGCTTTCATAATCATCTTAAATTGAAGTAGGTAAACACTGCCATCAAAGAGGAATTCATACTTTGCTCTTAGCCGTATCTGCTTCTTGACACAAGAAATAGAGAGAAAGATGTGGGGCTAGATTTTTCAGCTGCAGACTGCATTTAAATCAACTTTTTGAGGATGGTTTTATCATCAGTTAATGGTATCATAACCTTCAAAGGGCAAAAAGTGATGTCTTGATTCTCCACAGAAGAGTCGTGGATTCACGATTTGCAGTAACAGGTTATCCTTTAAACGTCCTGGTTTTAACTTAACTTTGCTTTCATGCTAGGTATGGAACAGGATGTTTCTTGCTGTGCAATACAGGTCAGAAGGTCAGTTGCATTTTTCAGTCGTTCACTTTTTTTTTTACAATCTTTGTTTAAGTGTATTAGCCTTTCTTAAACTTATTAGCAACAATTATATTGCTAGAGATAAGGAAAAATGAATACTGAAATGTGACAGAATAGAAAGTAATCATTTGTTCAAGGTGTTTCAGTAAGACTCCATTCCCTAGCTTCTTAAATTTCCTGATAGAATTTTTCATAGCAAGTTTCTTACTCTTTCCTTGTGTATGTTTCTTAACCTCACCCAGAAGTGCTCAGTGTTGTATTACTTAATGACATGCTTTTCTCCTTATCTTGGCTATTTTATTTCTTCATTTTCTCCCATTGTTTCTTTGTAGTTTTAGTTGAATAAGGAGTGCAAAGCTTTGGCTTCCTTCTTATTTACATCTCCTTCTAAAGACCACAGTTCTTTGCTGTAAGGAGGCTGGAAAGATCTGAGGCAGCTTGTGGAAATGAGAACTAACACCAGTGATCTGAGGATTCTATCTTAGGTGTTTATTTAGAGTGATTGATAATTTACTTTGTTTAAACTTTCCATATTTTTTTTTCCAGTGAAGGTTTTATCTCTTGTTTATTATCATTTTAATATATTTATTTAATGGTTGTTTGCCTCTGTTCATGCTTTATCTTTTCTTTCCTCTTTTCCCATTTAGTCTGTGTTTTCTGAGCATGGTCTTCTAACCACAATAGCTTACAAACTGGGCAGAGACAAACCTGTTTGTTATGCACTAGAGGTAAGTACAGTAATTTCTTCCTTTTTATAGTGATACATGTTCCTATTTACTTCTGTTTTCTAGTATCCTGATGTTATCTTCAGAGAAACCTTCGAGTTGCACAGAAGTCAGAATTGCTTTGTGTTATAGCTTGTGTGCCTCAAGGCTTATGTGTGGTTTTGGTTATCCCTATCTCCAATCTACATCATGTAATCTAATAAAAATATTTCTACATTGCATCATTTACATTTTCAGGGCATGATGGCTAAAACATTTTTTCTCTTACTTAGTCTTTCAAGTTGTTAATAAATATTATAAATAAAAAAATATTTTTTAATACTAAAATCACATTTAAAAGGGGGAAAACGTACTAGTGTTTCAGTTATCCTCTCATAATAAAAGGCATGACTAAAGGTCTTTGGTTTTTGTTTCATTCTAATGGATTTTACTTTTTTAAAACTCTGAATCAAATTTCTGGGACAAGAATCCTCTAACAATTGAGCTATTTTTTACCTACTAGGACTTAGATATCTACATCCATAATTTAATTCCTCAGTTCTCCAAACACCTCTGAGGACGTGCAAATTCTGTAGAAAATTGTTTTTTTGCTATGGCTTCAGAGTTTATTGTTCTAAAGCTCTGCTTCTGAAGCGCAGATCAGCTGAGGACCTGCTTGGCACCAAAGCTTCATTGGGTTCAATAGAATTATTATTATTCCATGTTGCTTAGTGGGCTTGATCTAATAGTTATTCTCAAAACACACATACTAAATTCTATGCTGCCTTTAAGCTTTTGTAGAGAGCCTATGTTTTCCATGTGAAACAGACAAAGACCACACACAGGATTTTCTTTGCTGGGAGAATAGTTCGTGGCTTAAAGTACTTTACTAGGTTGTGGGAGGCTGTGTTCATTTCCTTTTCCTTTTCCTTCCCTGAGGAAAGTTGATCTTGCATTTGCCGTGTTCTGGCAAACTGGAGGGTTTTCATTCTGTACAGGTGTGTGAGAGGTTTGTTTTATTTTTAAGGCATGTTCTTAAAGCAAGAGCTAGAACCGTTTTGAGAGCAATTTGTCGTTATGCATGCTGAAAGACGTACATGTGTACTTTGCTTCTTCCGTATCTCCAAGTCTTTAATGGTATTGTCTGAAGAAATGGTCTCAACAGAAGATATTAAGTGTTCTTTCTCTTGTATCTATGCTAGAATCATCTACAATCTGCTGGTTGAGACACTTTCCAGAGAGGCAAGAAATGTGGATTCACCCTTTTCTTTTAATCAAACCTGTATCTTGTAACTGTAGTAGCTAGCTGGTTAGAAAACACGCCTGCTCTTTCTAGCAGTGGCTCTGAATGAAAATATAACACTACTCCCATTTTACTTGAAGCTTAGTCTAGTAAACTTGATACTGTCTTGTAGAGAAGTCTGTTTGGACTTTGGAGTGAGATGGGAGCCATGCCATTCATCTGTGACATGATGGAGCCATTCAGGGCCATTTGCTGAGGCACAGAGGAATTTTGCTGGCAAATGCAAATGCCTGAATTTTCTGTCTGCCTCGGCATTTGTATTTAAACTTTAGACATAATCAATTTTGGGTTTTTAACTCAAAGCATAAAAATCTTAATTTGTCAGAAAAAGAAAGCTGAGGCTACTGGACCTCATGACTGGATGTTCAGGAGAAGACTTAAGTTAGACAGACAAGAAGACTGCTTAGGAAATGTCATGGTAACCCCTCCATGGAAGAAATCACACAATATGTACATTTTCTACATGGAGCCTGCATAACAGGCTGCCATTTTTACATGGCAGTGTCCAGCAACCAAGAAAATTGTGGTTTGGTTGTGAGCATTCTTGGGAGTGCTTTAAGCTGTTGACTGTAAGCCTGCAATTTAGGCGACCACAGCTACCCCTCCTGTCCAGTCTTATAAACAGGAACATGAAGCTACCAGTTGTTGTCTCCTAATGGTGTAGCGATTTTGTTTCCTTCAGGGATCTGTTGCAATAGCTGGTGCTGTTGTTCGTTGGCTGAGGGACAATCTAGGTATTGTTAAGACTTCACAGGAAGTTGGTGAGTATTCACAGTTTGGAGCTGTTTAGTTTTTAAGTTTGCTTTTCCGATGTCTTGATGTGTCTGATGTTGAATGAAAGCTCAGAATTTTCAAGAAAAGCTGGAAGTTGCATATATTTTGCTGTGTTTGAACGATTTTTTCTGCATCTGTGAAATAACTGGTTATTGATATATGTATTTCATACAGCATATCAATACAGTCTTTGAAACCCTTTGTCAGCTTTGTTTTGTTGCAATCTGTACTTTTTAGTAGTTTCCCTGGCAAGCAGATATTCAGGAAGATACTACACTTACAATGTATTTCCTGGTTTCATACAATGTTGAATTTTCCGGAGCCAAGAGTATTTAAGACTCTATTACAGAACCCAGAGTACATTTGATCTTGAACGTACATATTCATTCCTGTCATAAACATGAGAACCTGAGGCCCTACGTATGCAACGATTTATGTAGAAGCTTTCATATCCGTTAAGGACCTCAGTTTGCAAAGCTGCCTCTTAAAGGAATTGTGAAGGATGGTAGTCCATTTTTGTTAAGAATACAGTAATCCTTTAGCATTTGGGTAGCTGATGTTCTCTGCTTGAGCTGAACTGAAACAAGATGGTGTGTGACATTATAGAAACCAGGAATATATCAAACTTTGAAAAAGGAGAAACTGTAAGAAGCACGCAAGTGTAAGTTTGAAAGTGATTGATTTAGTAAGATTTAGTATTAAAAAGCAATTTGTTACATACTGTTAATGATTTGATATCTTATTCAAAGGTGGAAAAATTTAGAACTCAAATTTTACATAAAACTTCAAAAACTAAGCAAAAACTTAAAACATCAGTCTGTTTTTCTGTAAGAAAGATTTGCAGATCATGCAGAAGAAGAATATAAACTACTGCCATGTGAATTAGCCAGCTGTTGAGACATTACAGTATCTGTTGGCGTCACAAGTTTGACTAGACCTTTGGAAGGTTTGAGTTGCCAGAACTTTAACCTTGTCAGTGTTGTTAAAGTCATGTGGGACTTCATCTCTTCCTGTTTCCCTGAACATGTCCTTCCTTCTCCCTTCACTCCTTTTTTAAGTGGAGTCTGTGTGAAAGTACCATTTTAAAAAGACTTTTTGAGTAAGTTTTCCTACTTCTTTTCTCTATTGTTGTGCTTCTCTGATCAATTCAAACAGAAGAAATTTACAAAAGTAGAAAAAACTAATTTCCTTTCTTGTTATAGGAAGGAGCTACACATTAGCATTAATTCCTTTGCAGTTCTAGGTGTTTTAATATCATTTTAAAAATTACAAATATTTTAATATTGGGGAGTTTAGATATCCAAAGTTATTACTCAGATATTAAGAAACTTCAGATTTTCTTGTAGCTGGCCTTGTGATTGTATAGGTAAGCTGAGAATTTAGAACTCTAAATCCATTTGAAATTAATGGGAATTTAGTTCTTAACTCCCTTTGGTCTTGATCCAGTTTCACTTGCTTGCCTTGACTTAAATGAAAGTAAGGTGTGACCTTTTGAACTGCTTTGAAGGTTGCATACACAACAGGATACCCTTTGAAAACCTCACAGAATCTAGGTCAGAATATTGAGCACAAAGATTTGTTTTTCGGTTTTGATTTTACATTTCACATTCCCTACAATCCCCTGTACCCCATCTTCCATTCATATTGTTGCAAATGGACAAGAAGTTAATGAGAAGCACAGTGCCAGAGTTGGTTGTATTTTCTGATTGTGTATGGCTTGATTATTTCTGTAGCTGCCTAATGTATTCTGAATATTTTCCCTGTTTAAATAATAACACCTTTAAGTGTCGATACAGTTGTGAAAAGCTAAGTGAAGACTGTTTGTGTGTGTGCATTAGAAAAACTGGCCTCGGAAGTGGGGACTTCTTATGGCTGCTACTTTGTGCCAGCATTTTCAGGACTGTATGCACCATACTGGGAACCCAGTGCAAGGGGGTAAGGATCTGTAAACACTGCATTTGCAGGGAGATTTAATGATTTTACAAATGCTATCTCTAGTCCTTCCAGGTATGTGAAATTGTCCTTTTTATTCCTTTATGTTTTGGAAAATGAATTTGCAATTGAATTTGTTTTCCTTATTACTAGGTGATCGTGAAAAAGTAATTTCATTCACAGTACTTTTCCCATACTTCACTGAAGATTATGATTCCTCACCTTTAATAAGTGATTTCCTAATTTACAAAACATGATTGAAATGTTAGATACAATCATTACTATTCCCTACTCTTATTAAAAAAAAGGGGGAGAGAAATTATTTTAAGTACATAACCTTTTCAGTAAAATCATAGAATCATAGAGTCATAGGATGGTTTAGGTTTGAAAGGACCTTAAAGATCATCTAGTTCCACCCCCCTGCCATGGCCAGGGACACTTTCCACTAGACCAGATTGTTCAAAGCCCCATCCAACCTAGCCTTGAACACTGCCAGGGATGGGGCATCCATGACTTCTCTGGGCAACTTATTCCAATGCCTCACCACCTTCAGAGGGAAGAATTTCTGCCTTAGATCTGATCTAAATCTACCCTCTTTCAGTTTAAAGCAATTTCCCCTTGTCCTATCACTACATGCCCTTGGAAAAAGTCCCTCTCCAGCTTTCCTGTAGGCCCCCTTTAGGTACTGGAAGGCTGCTAGAAGGTCTCTCCGGAGCCTTCTCTTCTCCAGGCTGAACAACTCACA